TGAACCCTGAACCCTAAACCTATTGGCTGTTGGGTTTAGGGGCTAGTCTGGTACAGAGTTGGGATGGCGTGAGGTAGGCATGGGAGCCCTGATTCAGGGTCTTCGGTCCAGCTTCTGTGGCCTTCATGGAATGGCACCCGAACCCGGAACCCCAACTTGGTGCGAGCAGCAAGTTTTACATAGATTTAGGATAAATATCCCGAAAATCGCACAAATTCTGTAGGCGAAGAGTTCGTTTAACGATTCTGGTGCTGGCGAAAAGCTCTGCTGTGAGCTAGGGACATCGGTGCTTGAGCGAAGGTTCCCGTCTAGTATAGGAGCCTTCATGATTAGGGTTTAGGGTTTAGGGTTTAGGGTTGAGGGTTTGGGGTTAGGCTTTGGGGGGGCATGGTATTGTAAAAACTTTGACAAGGAGCCCTCAAGAATGATGCTGTCAGTTTGTTCAGGCTTCTATGTGAGATTCCTGAGGTTTCTTAAAGGTTGGACTGTATAGGCAGCATACTAGAAGATGTGAGCCACCAAAAATGCTGCCGCTTTTTGAGACCCTCCCCTAAACCCCCCTAACCCTAAACCCCTAAACCCTAAACCCTAAACCTTCCGACACGGGCAGCGTTGTCCCAAAGTCTTGTCAAGCGCACTTTATGCCCACACGACACTCTTCATCGGCCATGAACTTGGCCTAAACCATAAACCCCTAAACCCTAAACCGCAAACCCCTAAACCCTAAACCCTAAACCCCTAAACTCTTAGGGTTGTTTAGAGCTGAGGATTGAAACTTCAGGTTACCTGCTCCGAGAGTCACCTCCTCAAGCTTCAGCTAAAGCCCCAAACCCTAAAGCCCCTAAAACCCTAACCCTACACCGTTTAGGGTTGAGGGTGGTTAAACCCCAGAACACTCCGGGATGGACCTGATGATACCAGCAATCTGCGGCAGGTACGGTTTCACACCTCGCTGGCATATGGCTCTGGCGTAGGCATAATATTGGGTTTATGTTTTAGGGCATATACGGTATCCATGGTACGTAAATCACAAAACGAACCGTTCAAGGTTAGGTACGAGTATCCTGCGGTGAGTATGCAGACTATGTGACATTGCAAGTACCCCGAATAAAGGGGTGGGGTAGGACTCTAGGCAGGGCTGCTGGTTCAGTGTAATGCTCAGTAAATATGGCTTTGGTGGGCGCTGTACATGGCGGCGCATTGGAGATCAAGAGGTCTAATCAGCTTAATCTCTGTCTGCTGAACTGTCCTGACAAAGCCCCGAAAGAAACCCTCGTAAAGTCCTTCGGGAACCCTGTAACAACGAAGGAATCCTTGCAGAAAGCTATAGTGACGGGATCACGAGTACCTCGGACAGAACGGGCTGTTGCCACACCCTAAACTTTTAACCCTAAAACCCTAAACCCTAAACCCTAAACCCTAAACCCTAAACCCTAAACCCTAAACCCTAAACCCTAAACCCAAACCTTTAACCCTAAAACCCTAAACCGCCAAACCCCCAAGCCAGAA